TACTTGCACAACGGCGGGGAGGTGTAGAGTTAGAATTGATTTTCTAATAACTGAATCTTTCACTTTAAAAAAATTATATATGAACTGTAAGTAGTTTTAGAATAATTAAAAATATTTAATTAAAAGTATAAGTACTTGACTTGAGATACTTTAAGCTAATAAATTTTATCTCAGATAATTTAATTGATCATAACTTTTTAATGGATTTTAATATTCTAGAATTTGTGTCGGATTCTTTAAGAACTAGAAATTGAGAGAGATTAAATATTCTAAATCCTCAAAAGAAATATGCTCAACAAGATATATTAATTCACAGTAGAATTAAAAATAATTTTGGATTTAAGAATAAAATAGAAAAAGAAAAAGTCTTGCAAGGCAATAAATTGAAAATAAATATTAAAAGAAAATGAAGTGGCTAGTAATTCTTAAGAAAAAGCTTGAGGTTGAGCAAGAAAAATCAAAAGTGGCGTCTAATTTCTTTTCTAATTAATAAGACATAAAATATTTTTAATGTGATTTTTATTATATCCAGGAATAATTAAGAAAATTAAAGCTGACTTCAATATATATTTGAGAAATGAAAATATTCAATCGCACATGACTAAGAGTTTTTGAGATATGCCTTGGCTATAAAATATGGGAATTAAAAAAAAGTTAGGCTCATAGAGATTAATAATAATCCAACTTTAAAATGATATTAGCATTTTTTCTCATTGCACTTATATAATCTGATTAGAAAATCAAAAAGGCCCACATGAGAGCTATGAGTATCACTGGAGTCCTAGTTAGGTATGAGATTACATAGGAATAAGTAATAGCTAAATTTGGGGGAATCAATATGATGTAAAATTATGTGATTTTCCTATAAAATTTTCATACTTTATTTCTCTTTTATGATGATTTTAAGTTAGAGAAATGTATTTTTGTTATTTACAAGACATGATTGTAGAGAACATCTAAGAGAGAGAAATTATGTAATTTTGGTCAAATAATCACTATCACACCCATGCCTATGAAAGGCACACCCATGCTAGCATAGCATGTTAATGGATCGAAGGTAGTGATGCCACAATGCACCTGCATCCAAAGACCACACACTCATGCCCACGTCCTAAGCACACAACCCACCTACGGCTGAACTCCGCATGTATGTGCCCCCTTCCCAAGGGTGCAACATGCCCACAAGTTGACCAATTTGGAATGAATTCTTGTTAGGTTTGGCACCATACCTATAGAAGTTATTGTTTATAGCCTTAAGGGATGTTCTTGGATAATTGTGGAGGCTTTCTTCAAGGAGTTTTAGGTTTTCTCTTCCTCCTTCTCTGGGGATAAACTCTTAAGGTTAATTTTACTATGAGTTTTGAGAGATTTTTATATGAGAGAGTGAGATTGATGGTTGTGTGTGAGGGATATTGCAGAGTGCTTTCATCGTACTAAGATGATTTGATGGATTGTGGAGAACACTTGGTTGTTATAAGTTTTTGTACTTTCTTTCATTCAAATTTTATTATATTTATTGAAAGTTTTATGCTTTTTTATCTTTTTGACCCATAGCTAATATTTTTCCATTCTTCTATGATGTTAGAATAATATTATTTTTTTGTTTTCATTATTAGTTTTTTTTTATATAAAAATTTTCATGCTTTCAAATTGAAATGATGATTTGTTAACCTTTTGATTGTCATTTACTACTAACTTGATCAATTAAGATATTAAAACTTCTTGTGATATGAGACATCTAACTGTCATCTTATGGAACAAGTAGGATAACACTATGTAGCATAGTGGAATAGACATATTATTAGTAAAAAACTGCAACCTTGATAGAGGATTCAAAGATTCCTAAAAAACGCTAGATGGTTAAGTCCCTTTTAACTATAATATAGTTCTTAACTCTTCTTATGACCAAGATATAAGCTAAGGGTGTGTTTGGGACAGCAGTGAGGTGGCAGTGCAGTGCTGCACCGTAATTTTTTTTTTGTTTGGAAAAACTGTGTTTTGCCTACTTTTTCAAAAAATTGCAGCTGAAAGCTGCATTTTGCCACCAAATCTAGCTAGTTGTGGTGGCTACCAGAAAGTTGTGGTATAATTTTTTCAAAATTTTTTTTTGTAATAGTCATCGTAACTTTTTAACTAACAACTTCTTCTATAACAATTTCACAACCGCTTCTTCAAATAGCTATAATTGTCCTAAATAGACCCTAAAGAGAATAGTGTCCCTAGTTATCAACTATCACATATAGAAATTCATAGGGCAACCATCATGAGAATACTATATCTTTGTCATAAGAGATGAACATCATCACCTCTGAAGGACTCAAATTTGTTTCATACTTTTATGTTGTTTCCATTTTTGTTTAATTTTTCTATTTGTTGCTTCCTTCTAGGACTGTTAGCTTTTCCTTCGTGCACTTAGATCTCTCCAAACTAGATTTAGTGGTGTACAACACTAGAACTTCTCTTGTTAGGAATATTCTCATGGGATCGATAAATGACCTATTTATCTGCATATTGCTTGATCCATGCGTATACTTATGTGATTGAATGACCTATCTCATAGTACATTTCGAGCATCACCCACCACCACCCAGTTGTCGCCATCACCAACGCCACCATGATAATTATAGTTAGACTACTGCTATCAAAATGTAGCCATTTCCTTGACTTATTACGCCACTCCCCTAGCGGAAGTCACGTCACTTTTTAATCTTTCTCTTGGCTAGTTAAGGACCAACAAAATCCTGTAACTTATAATAATATAATGGAATCAATTTAACTGGGCTAGACCATCGCTTTTTCCCTTATGTGGTTTTCAGAAAAACTCCTGCCGTTTTCTATGCCAATTTTTTTTACTTATGTGTGTGTGCTGAATCTTTATGCAACACTAAAATATTAATATATTACTCTACCACAATGAATTTACTAGCACACGACATACCTTAATTTTAACATGCGCACTCTCTCTAGTTTCCTTGAGAGTGGCTTGATTTAGTCATTTTCTATTAGTTCACCCTTTCTTGGTTATGCTTTGGTCTCCAATAAGTTTAAATCATATTCCATTTAATAATTTTAAATTGAATACTCTATTGTTGGAAGATGTATTATATAAAATTAGTTTTAATGATATATCTATACATAATTTGTGTGTAGAGAAAGTAAAATGTATGCAATTCGATTAAAATTAAAAAAAAATTGAGAGGGGGCTTGGAGACCCTTTGCTCATTTCGTAGAGGAACATAATTGATTAATGATTAATTCCCAATATTATAATTAACAAAAGCTATAAAAATATTTATTGTTTTCGTGTTCAACTCAATAAGTAATTCGTATTCAATTAATTCTTTAAGTGAATGAACACGAACAACATTTTGTTCAATTGTGTTTGATTTATTTTTGGATTGAATTAATTTAAATATTTTATGCTATATTTTAAAAGATTAAATTTATTATTTTTATAACATTCAATTTAATTTAGACAGAAAAAAAAAAAAGAACAACTTCTAATGAGTCTAAAGCTAGCCGAAACCCAAAGCGTCTTGTTTACATCAGGGGTCCATCTAATTATATTACGAGATCGAAGGCCGCTCTCGTCTTCTCTCTCGGATCCTCTAGCGCTGGAAGAGGTGAGCTTCCTGAGAACTTTGGTCGCTACCTGCTTCGATTTTTAGATTCACATACTATTTGCGGACACATATGGGCGAGTGTAGAAATGGCATAGAAGCTGCTCGCATGCTTTAAGGAATTGAATCGATGAGAATTTTGATTTTTCTCTGAAACTTAAATATTTTTTACGTATAAATCCTTGAATATTATGTAACTCTGTTGATTCTATGGCTTAAATTTTTCCCCCTTTTAGCGGAATGATGCATTAAGATTTTCAGTTACGCTGAGCCTCTCAATGATTTATATGCCGACGCTACCCTAACTTTTGTACATCGTGACAGAAAATTAGTAGTGTAAGCGTTCCTTGCCTTAAAAAATGACGCCTTCTGTCATAAAAATGGATTTTAAGAGGCTCGATTGGAAACATAGTAATGCCCTGTTTAAGAACCAATACAAGATTCGTTATCACCATTGAAAATGTTGTGAAAATTCTTTTTGGATGTGGACTTACCTTCATTTGTGAATAACTTTCATTAAGAATATAGTTGGCTGTATTCACCTTCTTGAATCAAAAGATTGAGATATTTAGTTTCAGATAAACTATTCTTTAAAGCCCGATTGTCACGAAGACCACCATCATGTTGACAAAGAAATATTTTGGGAAATAGATTATGAAGTAAAACTTTGTTTAAATTAATTTATTTTTGACAACTATGATATGCTAAAGATAGAGACATAGCTAGTGAATAATGCATTTCTTATACAATAAGCAAAGCTAGTATTTGTTATTTGATGTGATTTAATGAAACAAGCAGCCTCTGAGGGCTAGAAATATGAAATTACAAGGATTTGATTCAGTTAAACTTTTTGGGTTACATAATTTGGTTATTTTGTTGAAAAAATGTAGATACTGTAGTGATTAGTTACGGATTGTTATGGGTATTTTTAATTAATGGTATTGATTCATTTTCTTTAAATTATGTTGATTGTTTTATAGAGTTTCAGTCATCAATATTATATTCTTACCCCAAACATTCAACCGACACAAACCTTAATATATTATCGATGGACCCAATTTCTTTTGCACTACCATTGCCTCTTGTCTCTTTTCATGTCTCTTCTACATATTATTGCAAATTTAAATGTTATCTCTTACCCGCTAGTTCCCATGGCCCATCATCTTCCCAACATCACCTATTCTCTAAGATCTTTATAGATATCTTACTGCTCAAATCAGAGCATCATTGATGAGCTTGAATTCCTCTTCCTTTCATTCTCATCTAACAGCACAAGAGTACAGACTACATTCATTCATGTCCAAGCAAGTCATAACGGTTGGCAATGCTATATTGGATTCCTCTCCTATTTCATTCTCCATTTCCATCTCTCTATTCTTTCTCCCCCTGTTCTTTTAGTTGAGCGTGTGTATGACAACACCCCAAAGAAAGTGGCGCTTTTGTGTAATTCTCAACCCTTATAAGATAGTGTAGTTTCATGTTATTTAAGCCCGACACATGCATAGTTGGGAAGAATAACCTCAATCTAAGGTTAGTCTTTTAGTAAATGTATATAATTAGCTATTTAATTCTTTTTCTTAGAATTGGCCGTGTGGACATGAATCTTGGCCGCAGACATTCCTAATCACCTGTTAAACCGTGTTCAGGTAAGTATAAGTAGCTTTTTAGTGTAGATGCAATTGCTTAGTGTTAAACTCCCCTCAGTGTAACAATTACTATAATTGTTTTTTATGCTTGCCTTTTCCTCTTCTTCAAAGATCGTACACTTTCTTTTGTCAATCTCTCATAGGAAAATGGATGGCTCACTGCCATTTTTAGTTCCCTCTTCTTTGAGACATATCATATTCATTTTAATATTGTTACCGCTTATTGCTAACTCTCTCCTTGTCATGCCACCTAGTGTTTTAATAATTTGTTGAACCATTGTAATGCCCTTATGTCCTTACTAATTGATTTCATAGTTTCTAGCTATGCTAGTCGAGTTTCTCTATGAAGTTATTATATTAATGTGGATTTTGGTTAGAACTACATTTTGATCTAAACCCTTCTACATATTGGGTTATGACATGGAAATGGATTGACCACATTCACATCCATTTTGATTTTTTTTTCCGTTCCCATTCAGTTTTGGATAGGTCTGCTCAAATTCTCTTGTTCATATGCCTAGTATTTATACCATGTTTTTTCTTAAAAATGGAAGGAGGCCAGAGGAAAATGAAAGAAGAGAAATATAAATTGAAAAAAATTATTCAGCCCAATTGAGTTGAGATTGGAGATGGTTATAATAATGTTGGAAGAAGACATGAAATAGTTTGTTACAATACATTTATTAATATTTCTTATTTACAGAAATATTCGTTCATAACAGTCAACATGTTAAAAGCAGTTTTTGGTAAAACTTCGTTAGATTTTCTTTTATGCTCCACAATTTCTCATCAAAGTTCTTTGATTGTTAGCTGCATTGTTATTATGTTAGCAAATTTCGAAGAATTAGGATACCTTCACTAAAAAGTGAGTGCCCTCATCTGCATAGGAAAGAAGAAAATTTAGGTTCCATTCTCCTTCGAGGATATCTCTTTCACTTCCATTTTTTGTATATATCAGTCCATTCTGAGTTCCTTTTTTATAACCTTTTATCTGATCGGCCCAAATGGATTTGACATAAGGGAGATTTTTTGTATCATGACCTGGTAAGATGTTAGGTATGTAAATTGATTGTAGTATATGCATTATAAATCTGAATTAAGATTCTAACCTAGCTTGTCATCTAGCTTATAATGGGGATCAATCTTGCTAACAAAGTTTTGCAGAATTTGTCAGTCATAAAATAACAAGATAGAATCGTCATTAGTCTAGCTATACTGATTTTGTGCTTTTATGGTGCTGAATTAAATAAATTATCATTCTCTTACCTTGTTCAAGTTCATTCATAAGTCAATTCATATGCTCATGAATTCATAGTGAAGGTAAATGCATAAAATGCTCATTTTCTAAGCATTTTTTTTGTTATAAACCAAATTTCTTTTTTGAAGATTTAAGTAGGTTAAAAACTAAATCCAACAAAGCTTAAAGCATGACAGCCAATATTAACATATTTCAATCTCCAAGCTTCTCATGTTTATAGCATTGTTCATATGAATTAAATGAGTGCTTTTGAAAGGCTTGGGTATTATATGTGTAAAGCTTTTATAAAAATAAAAAGCTTTATAGAAAAAAAAATATATATATTCGACAACACAATATTATTAGTCCTTCATAAGGGTCAGTAGATTGTCACATCTAACTTGGTTATTAGCATCGTTGTTTTGTTGGCACATTTCTTGGAGTTGTTGTGGAGCTATTTCATGGGAGATAATTACGTTAGGATCCCTTAGAAACCGGATGAGCAGGTTGGAGGCATATACTTAATGGTCATCTCTGTCTGGCTACTTCATTTGTCAAAGCATGAACACCTTCAACTGACGAATGCAACTGATTTAGTGAGCCCAAAGCATATGGTTTACATCCCTATCAGTCTCGGACGACGGAATCCATCACAATCAGCTTGCTCTTTACTTTATTTATCTCTTTGCTTCTTTAGATAAATCACCGGGTAAAGATATGATAGATTGATCTAACTCTGTAGCCGGAAAGAGGGCGAAATTAAATTTTATGCTTATTTGAGGAGTTGGATTTAGCTTCAACGCTCACAATTTGGTGTATTGTGTTCACTTTCGATAAATTTGGATTTTCAAAACTTATCGACCATCCTAAATTAAAATTTGTACTTTGATGATTTTGTTCTGAGTTTTTTGCCACCATCTTGAACTTAATTTATAAACTAAGTTTTAGATTAAAATAGCATGTGACATGGTTATAGTCTTACATACAAAATTCCAATCCTAATCTCAGATTTGAAGTCTGTAGTTTTAACTCTGTTATTCTGCCCGGAACTCAATGGAATTGTTTCCAATTGCAATCTCTGTGGATTTATGGTCATGTAACGCTTGGACACCTGAATCTTACAAAACGTTAGTGAAATTAACTTTAATTATCACGGCAGACAAGATATTACCTAGGAAATACTTCAAAAAGTTGTCATATTACTTTGTCTTTCAAATGCGTCTGAATTTGGCTCCTCTTATTTTTTGTAAATTTTATTTGTGAGTTTAGCCATATAGGAAACCTCTTGATCGGGATTGAGAACTGTTTCGTTGTATTTCTGGCATCTGTAGTCTTTCTTAAAGCTTATTCAAAGTCATGTGTATCAAGGAACAGATTTGTAGTTGTAGAGTTGGGAAAAAGTGAACTGCTGAGCTAGCTCAGAAAGTCATACATTTTATACTTTATGTACTATCCTTTGAGTTTTCCATCATTTATTTTCCCATGCTGCTATTTTTTTTATATTTTTTACAGGGAGTTTTCCTGATAAAGCTATTTCCTAAACTAACAATCTACCTTTTCATGTATTTAGTGCTTTTTTTAATGATCGAGACAGTTAAAGTAATCCTAAATTACCATCCTGAGTTGATTGTTTAAAATGATAGAAGTGGTTATAATTGAATGAAAATACGGAAAATTTTCATACATAGGACACAATTCTTATGTATTTACATATCTCACACCTAAGCTTTCATATTTACATACATAGTACTTTTGTGCTTGACTTGAAAAAGTGTTTCTCACTTTTAAAAAATGATAATAGTGTTATTTTTTATGTGATATTAAAGATTTGTGTGCTATGTGTGTAAACATGAAAGTTTTGGTGTGAAATATGTAAATACATAGGAATTGTGTGCTATGTATGTAAATGCCCCTAAAAATAAATGGTTCCTTATATGCTCGATGTCTGGTTCTATTGACAGGAGTTATTGCTTTATATGCTATTTTTTGATGGGATCTACAAAGAACACACATATGTATTATTCATCGGACAAGGAACCTTTGGAGGATGAGGATTCGGCAATCATGAAAACTGTTAAGGCGGCTACCTCGGGTTTGGCTGCTGGGACTATATGGGGTACGGTCGTTGCCACATGGTATGATGTACCTCGTGTAGAGCGACATGTCGCACTACCAGGCCTCATTAGAACCCTGAAGATTTGTGGTAACTATGGTTTGACTTTTGCTGCCATTGGAGGTATCTACATTGGTGTTGAGCAGTTGGTTTTGAAGCAAAGAGTTAAGAGGGATTTCATAAATGGCGCAGTGGGTGCTTTTGTGGCTGGTGCATCTGTTTATGGTCTCAAAGGTAATCTTCTCCCATAACTGGTTTTTTATCTAATTACCAGATTTTATGCGCACATTACTTTCAATTTTCTTAATTATTTTCTTATAGTTTATTGAACATCATAGAGAACATGGAATGAATTTACTATCTGTTCTTATCTTTATTGAGCGATGTGCCTTTATTTGTCCTATATTTCTCCTAAATATTATGCATGGGCAAATAAAATTGAACTATACTGAGTGCTGAGCCTTTATTTGACTAAATGTTCTACTAACCATTAATGTACTGGTAAACTTAAATTGCAAACACTTATTTATTTGGGTTTTTCATGTGGTTGTGGAAAAAATGCCCTACCTGCTGTTTAGGACAATCTGGCTACTTTTTTTAAATGAATTCTAATCCAAAATAACCTTGGATGGGAGTGGCGAACAAAATCTTCCTGGTAAGATGGAAAGAGTCTTTGGATGTTTATCTTGTAATGGTATGCCACCGAACTTCACGGTATGGTTGAAGGGTTTGTTCTTCTCAATCTAATACTGCCCGTAGTAATATAATTAAACCACAAGTTTTTCCAATAGTTTTAGGGAATCCTATCAAGTGGTTCTATTGGTGAAAGGAGAGGGCCTAATATAATGACTAGGCGTTTATGCACTAGAACTTGCCTAACATAAAGAGCAATGTTAAATTTACTGTATCAATAAAAGGATATTATCATTAAAACATAAAGTCATTATTAGCCTCCTTGGAAAACATTTCCATTTCCTTTTTCTTCGGATCGAGTTTTATCATAAGTTTTCTTTGTGAAAGATTGTTGTTTTTACCTATGATTTTCCTTATTTCTGGACAATAGTGAGATATATGTTTCTGTTTGGCAGAGAAGACAGGGGTAGGGAGTAGTAGACATTTGATTTCCATTCTAGTTCATTACAGCGGCAGCTGTAGGTGTTGGAATACTGAATTGCCTCAATTTCCTTAACTAGCCGATTGCATTAAGAGCAATAGGAGAGAGGAAGAATGAGACTAAAGCTTATGGTTCCCTGGTTTTGCGGATATAGCAGAATAGAAAGGGGTTTGAATCAAGTAAAATTAGGATTTTATTCTTTTCTATTTGTTTTCATAGATTGGATTTTATCTATTTATATAGGATTGAAAGACAAATCTAAAAACATTTAAATTTTAAACATATTTAGAAGTAGAAACTAATTCCACACTAGTATCTAACTAAATACTAGTAACTAAGAAACGAAGATGAAAATATGGAATTATCCTAAAAACACAGAAGTCATTCAAATATCTACTTAAATTCCTCGTCAATCTTTCCGCTTTTTGCATGTGGATATAATTGGTTTTTATTTTGGTATTAGACTTCTTAATGCATGCCTTTTTCAAGGAAATGAAAATTTGAATCTTATTTGGAGTTGCTTACTTTTTCTGGAACGTTTTTGGAGGTTGGATTTGATGAAGGATAGTTTCCTTGGCATCTAGGAACTCTCGGGAATCTTTTGGAAATTCTGAAAATCTTCTAGCAGCTTGTAAATCAATTTGGAATACTTGAAAATTCAATGATTTTGGGATCATCCTCTATCCCGGTTCTCCTTTTTGAGTTTTTATTTGCTCTTTTAAAGGATCATGAACATATCTTACTCTAGACTAGGCTCTCTTTTTGACCTTTGTGTTTTTTCTGGCTTGCGGCTACTTCTTCTGAGGCTGAACTAGCTTTAGGCTTATTTTTCTACCATGATTTTTCGTCCTGGAGTTTCTGGTGATGTTTTTGATGCTAATCCTTGTTATATTGCCATTGGATGAACATGCATAACTCCTTGGTCTCTATGTATTGCAAATGGTTATTGCTTGAGAAATTCTTCTATAGGTTGCCATTTTAAACTAGGTACATCCTGCTGTCCTTGTTGAAGAAAAGCAACTACTTTCTTTTAAATTATTCTCCATGTCTTTAAAATAAGGGTCCAGAAAGTACATGTCAAACATCCAATGGAGACACATCACTTGGAATTTCATTAATGCAATGTTTAATAATGAAAAGCTTCACTTCACAATGATACTTCACTGCTTAATGAACATCTTATTTTCTGTCCATCCCAAAGTTTCAGTGATACAAATAAGAAAGCATATCCATTGAATATGCAATTTATTTTATTTATTTTTAGTTCATTTTAAATTTAAAATTCGTTCATGTGGTCAGCTTCTATATGAACATGATGTTTTATCTAGTATTTCGAAAAAAAATGTTAGGGTTTGGATGTGTGCATTCAACCCAACCAATGAAATTCCAAGCAGCATATATGGAGTTCTAAATCTCGCTTCTTCCATTCATTGTTGCTGTAACACCATTATGTTATTATTCTGAGTTTATTGTGGCTGTTTTCTTAGTTTTTCTAGCAGTTTTACTTATTTTTATCTTCTATTCTTGTTTATTGACATTAGATGCTCTCTATTTTTCTGCTATTAGGTTCTTTAGGGCTTGCCGCTATATGCCTTGTTGCCTTTGCTTGACTTTCCAGTTGGGTTGTGTGTTACTGTGTTCAAACTTTGCAGTATTGCTCTCATCTGAAGGTTATAAATAGAATCCTTTAGGCATGCAAAATGGAGTTAATAATGAATCTTAAATGTAGTTTTAGTTTTACGCTGTCTTTTGCATTTTTTGGATGTGAATTCTTTGAGGTCTCACAATTATTGATGATTACTCCTCGAACCAAACTCCCTTGTACTAATGTGAGGTATAATTCTTCCCTTTGAGGCGATTTTCATCCCTGTTCTTGTATAAAAAAAACTTATATTTTTTAGTCTATTTTACGTTTATGGTTTAAATCTTGTCAAGTGAGGTACAATACAGGCTTTTTTTTGGAGCATGAACTTGATTAGTTATTGAATTTTTATATTTGTCATTGCTTTCTTTTGGAATTTTTGATTTTGGGCTCTTGTTAAATTATCTTGTAGAATGAATAGTGTGTGTTTTGTTGTCCATACATTTATTAAAAATTACAAATTATGAATTTTCATGTTTTTATGTTGTATTTAGCAATCCTTAAATAAATCATAATGAAGTTCACTACAAATGAAAATTTTTGTTTGTTTTTTTATTCCCTGATTTTAAAATTCATAGAGAATTTATGAAAAAATGAGATTAAGTGAATATTTTCTTTGAATTTGTTGATAAGGAGTGTCTCAATAAATGTTTGAAATTTTAAATCCCATCTATCAGGACAACTCCGAGAGTGCATAAATCATCTTCACTAATAATTAAACTTATTTTTTTGAGAATGATGAATGATAAATCATCTTTAATTATACATTTGGATTTGCTTTATTTATGGATGTCATTCATCTACATGTTATTTTATATCTGTTAATTGCATATCTGCAGTTATAATTATCATCTCCACATATTATGATAAGGCATAAATCATCTAAGTATCCCTTAGGAAGCTTGTTGAAAATGTAGTATTATTATTTGCTTCATATTATTTATGTGATTTGCATTAATTTTATAATTTGAATGATGGGATTCATTAATATAATTAATGAATATAATTGATATAAATAGGAGATATATGGAATCTAAACATGGAGATAGGTTAATAGTGCATCTCAATTTAGAAAAGTTTTATACATATGCCTTTAAGAAATTGATTGCAATAAAGTAGGCCATATAAAATTTTGTAAGTTATTGGGCTAACATGCGTGAATTGTAAATTAAGGATAGATCCTGTAGTTTTCTTAACTTTTTAATTTGACTTTATTTCATGAACTTGTTGATCAATATCTTGAAGTATTCTTTCTTTCCATCCCTTCATTAAAATTTTTCTCTTAACACCGTAACAAATAAATCTCTCGCTTTACTCCAAAGGTTTAACTAAAATGTATGGATTTATGTCTATTGTTGATAGTAGATATCATATATTCCTTGTTCCTTCGGGTGAAATGCTTCTTCATGAATTAGCTTGTAGGAATAATTGACCTGTTGCTTTGACATAATATCAAATAATTAATTTGTTGGAGTGGTATTTTTGCAAGCTGGACATAATGATTTAAATTTGAAGTCTGTGTTCATTGAAAATGCAATTCATACACATTGATTCTTGATTTTGATTTCATAGTTCATTTCAAGCGTAAAAACATGACTGATATCAACTTCTTTACTAATAAGAAGTGTTATCTCGTATTTTAAGAAGTCTATTAGATTTTGATTTCATAATTTCAACTCAACCCATAGAATTTGAAGTAGTGTAAATGAAGTTCTAAATCTACTGTTTCCTTTTATTTCTACCATATCTCCATTATGGCACTACTGTCCCTTCGTTTACAACTGCTATATTCTTTAATTTTGAAACTGTTTTACTTGTTACCTTTTGCTTATTTTTGTCGGCCGTTTTTTTTTTAACCTTCGCGATTTGAAAAAGTGATGATTTTGTGATTTTGAAAATAATTTAAATATGAATAGGTGACATCCGTTTAGATGATGATTTTTATTTTTAAAAGTAACATTTTAATTTTAAAATAGGTGAGACCAAACGGGTCTCACATTTTAAATAGTTTAGATGATTGATTTAGATGTCACATTTTAAATAGTTTAGATGATTGAATACAATACTACAAGTAATACACTTATCTCGAAGAATAAATATATCACTTGTAATAGGAATTCAATCACCTAGACTAAAGAACTTGTGATATCCGTTTTAGTCTGCGAAATATTTTTATAAAAAGGCCAACAAGTTCCCCTACCTAACATAAAAAATTAGATAGAGTTTATTTTATCTGAGTTCCAAGTTCCCTATAGAGGCAAACCCCTATAGTTAATTACATCTTAAATGACTGGGAGTCATTTAAGAAAACTCTCGATTAAGATCATGTAATTTTACCTTCAAGATTTCAAAGTTTAGGTTTTCACGGTTTGACATGGGAAAATCAAATGTGATTGGCTCAAAATATGAACAATTATTTAAGGAATCCAAAGGGAAGAAAAGTAGGGGATATCACAGATCTGGGGAAAACCCTGGTGA